GGTGAGAAAGCTAGCCACCAAGTCCAGGACTTGAACCATGGTCAGCCATGTGGGAGTGTCCAGTGCCTTAACCACCACACCCCCCGCTGGTACCTCAGCATGAGTTTTAAGCTGCCCAGTTCGGAACTCAAATCCGGGACTCAAACTGTAGTTAGCTATGCAGTTCAACGATGTGACCATTATACCATTGAGCTGGGCCTGCCAGGAGAATCTTTAAATGACTTTGTACACTGGTAACATACTTTTACTTCATACAAATATAGTCAATTGTTTGGGTGGCAAGGCCTTGAAGTAGAATTAACTCATAATTACAACTTTTTTTTAAAAAGAATTATTTATTTAATTCCATTTGTTATTATTAATATGTTTAATTTGACCAGAGACAGAGAGAGAGAGAGAGAGAGAGAGAGAGAGAGAGAGCAAGGGAAAATGAGAAAGCAAGCAAGCCACCAGGTCTGGGACTCAAACCTCTGTCAGCCATGTGGGAATCCAGCACTTTTAACCACTGCGCCACCTGTCGGCCCCACATAATAACCCTTAAGAAAGAATCAGAATCAAGTATGATGTTTCAATTTTGTATATATTTACAAGTAATGTAACAATGTTAAAGACCTCACTGGACTCAATTATTTGTAAAATGGACATATCCAGGGGCCTGCAGGTGGTATGTTGGCTAAGGGTGCTGGACTCCCACATGGCCAACTGCAGTTCAAGTCCCGGACCTGGTGGCTTGCTTTCTCACTTTCTTTCTCGCTCTGTCTCTCTCTGGTCAAACTGAAATAAATAAATAAAGTTAAATAAAATAATTCTTTAAAAAAAATGGACATATCCACATTAATGGTTAATACTGACACAGGCCACCAAATAGGCACGCAACACTAGAACATATTCTAGATTCAGGAACTAACCTTGTAAACCAACACTTGCCTATTTTGTTTGGTTCTCCTATTAAATACTGGGATGGCACCATCTTGCAAAAAGCCGCGATCTCTGTCTTCTACTTTGGTTGTGACTTTTCCTCGATGGGCTCATTCCACTGCCCCAGAATTAGCTCACAGAAACTACTGGGTCTCTGCACCTGGTGAGAGTGTCTATCCTGGAATCCATTGCTCTTGGTACTTAGCCAGCAAGTGAACCTAGTCATTCATGTCGGGAGCTGTGACTGAGGACGGTGGGGTTGGCAGGAGAATCCGCAAATGTGATGGAGGTGCAGCTGAAGCAACTACACTTTTTAGAACTGGGCACTCATGAACACCAACCCAGCATGAGCTTTTTTTTTTTTTTTTTTTTTATTATTTTTTTTAATTTTTTTTTTAATCATTTATTTAACTTTATTCATTCATTCATTCATTTTTAATTTGACCAGAGAAACACACAGACAGAGAGAGAGAGAGAAGGTGAGAAAGCTAGCCACCAAGTCCAGGACTTGAACCATGGTCAGCCATGTGGGAGTGTCCAGTGCCTTAACCACCACACCACCCGCTGGTACCTCAGCATGAGTTTTAAGCTGCCCAGTTCGGAACTCAAATCCGGGACTCAAACTGTAGTTAGCTATGCAGACCCAGAGGAAACCAAGGAAGCAGCAATTACCATCTCCCTCAAGCCTGAGGAGAAGCGGTGCCAAGTCCAGCGCTCACAGCTGTTCTTTGCAGGCCCTCAACCCACGCCAGGGCCTTTTGCAAACCCAGTATTGAGGTGTCCAGGACTTATCTGTGTGAAATCTTTGTGACCAGGATTACAGGTGAAGCATTTTTACCAAACTTCACCCAAAACACTTTTTTCTTCCCCCCAAGCCACCCTCTTGGGCTATGTAGCAGGAACAATGCCAAGGTTCCTGGGATGGATCAGTCAGTGGGTACCTGAAGAAGAGCTCCAGAACCCAGGCTCTTCCATTTGCCTTTACTTCATTCCCTTCACCTTCCCTTAAGGGACTCCAGCGTTAAGATTAAATTTCTCTAAGGCCTTGTTTCCCAGCACGCTCCTGGGCAAGTCATCACTACTTCAGATTCTTGGTAGGAGGCTTAACTAAACAAGATTTTAATTTAAATGCTTAAACTGACAAAGCCTTTTTTTTTTTTTTTTTTGCTATAGGGCGCATTCTATCGCCAGAGAGAGACAGAAATCGAGAAATCACCCCCCAGGGGGGATGGCCACGCTGCAATCCCTCCTCCATTCTCCACTTGGGACCTTGAGCACGCATGCACAGGCGCCCCGCGTGAGTTTAAGCCACCAGGTCCGGGACTTGAACCGCGGTTGACTACATGAGAGTCCAGCGACATAGCCATTAGGTCACCTGCTGGTCCCTGGGGTACAGTTTTGAGGTGAGTTATCTGACCTAGTCATAGGGGACACTTCCCTCCTTAAAATTTTATCTTGCCTTTCCTCAAACCTTAATTCCTAATATATAAATAAAACATTGTTTTTCCTTTTTTTCCCTTTCCCGGGTGTTGTTTTTTACAACAGCGCGCCCTCCAGCGATTCTGGAATCCAAAGCAATAGGAAAAGGATTTGAACATCTCCGGGAACAGGACTCGAAATTAAAGACATGCCACTTTAGTAATAAAAACAAAATAAAAATCGTTAATCACTTCAGAGTGTGCCCCTAATTAGATTCGCTGGACACAAGGCAAGGCTTTCTGCAAATACGACTCTTAGATTCAAAAGCAGAGCCTAAAAGCCAGGTCCAAAAAAAGAGGTCACGACTCCGGAAGGACCGGGGTTACCCGAATTGCTCTGCAAGGGCGCTTCTCGAGACGTCTCTGATTGGGCCAGAATTGCCGCAATCCTGGCCACGTGACACAACCCCGCCCCACCCCCTAGATAAGCGGGGCCCGGCGCGCGCCCGCCGTCGTGTGCCCAGAGAGCTGCGCATGCGCGGTGGTAGTGTTGCGTTCGC